TCGGGCGGGCGGGTGGCTGGGTGGGTGGGTCTCTGCACGTTCCTCTCTAGTTGTGTGCTATCATGAAGCTCATCGTAGCCAAGGAGCGGTGTAAGTAAAGAGCTGCACTTCCTCCAGCAGCCCCTCCACACCTGCTGGTCTCTCCTTCTCCCCTGGTTTTGTCCCATTGAGTGGCTGCCTGCTTGTGGGGGGGATGCAAAGCACTTGTACACATGCCTGCAGGCTCCTGGATGTGGGTTGTGAAGTGCAGGGAGGAATTCACACTCGTGCATGCACACACAAGTCTGGATGCAGATGCACTCTCAAGTGCAGGGAGGAATGGACACACACGGATGTTGTCTGTGAAGTGCAGGGAGGCACACAGCAGCACACTTTTCTGAATGGTGTCTGTGAAGTGCAGGGAGCAACTGAGGTGGGAGCAAAGCACAAATTCTTCTAACTGTCAGGAAGTATTACTTACATGGCAAATTTTAGATCCTATTTAGAATGTATTCCTTGGGATTAGGGCAGACAAGGTTCCTTGGGTGGATTTGATATCTTTTATTAGACTTTGGGATTAGGCCTCTGCCTTGTGGGGGGCTGGTAAACTAACTGCTAAATTTACTCTTTTGGGGTTGTTTTCTTTTTTTTGGGGGGGGTTAAACCTGTATGTTTCAAGTGTGTGTTCTGAATGTAACCCTTATTGCATTTCTTAATAGCCTTTAATTGTTTTAATGGGTGTTATTTTAATATCTATGCTCCAATATGAAAGGGAGTCATTTGATAATTCGTGTTTTTCTTTTCATGTATAATAATCCAATTGTGAAATGTCATTATGAAGCAAACAGCTTTTTTTTTTTTTTTAACACCATACTTTCTGTAGGGGTTAGAATGGAGAGTTGTTAGCTTCATTCAGTTTCTGCTTTACATAGCATGTTTAAAGTTCAGCATATTCTTAGAGCAGAGCTTTCCAAACTTTTCATGTTGGTGATACACTTTTTAGACATGCATCATTTCACGACACAGTAATTCAGTTCCGGGGGAGGGGCCAAGGGAAGCAGGCGCGAGTAAGGGAGCTTCGCGGTGCCCTTCTGCAAAATTTTCTGCATTTCGCGCGACACACCTACACACTGCCGCCGACACACTAATGTGTCGCGGCACACAGTTTGGAAAGCTCTGTCTTAGAGGGTACTTGGAAATACTCACAAAAGGCTAATGCCAAATTATAATGACTAAAATAAGCACATAGTGGCTCTTGGATTTTGTTTGTCTAGTCCAGAAAATCTTTTCCAATATTGGAAATTTTACTGGTTTTTTTCCTTCCTTTTTTTGGAGGGGGGGCAGGGGGAGGAGAGAGAAAGGGAAGAACCTTCCCTTTACTTTGGAAGCAAAGGACTTTCAAGGATGACCTTGGAGACACTATTGGTTTTGTAAGTAGAGACACCTTGTACCTAACAAGGTATAATACAGCATTGTTTCTCAACATGTGGGTCATGACCCAAAAGTGGGTCACAAGAATATGTGAAAGGGTCACAAAAAAATTTAAAAAATGGATCAGCAAACCTTAAAAATGGATTCTCCTTTATACATGGGAGCCAGTGCACTAGGGAAAACTTGTTAAACTGTGATTTTTTTTTTTTCCCCTTGCAGGCTGGTAGAGTTCCAACCTGTGAGGGGCTGCTTGGGGGCTACATGTCCCTCACACCCTTTCCCACACACACCCTCTCCCACACACACTGGGGGCAAGGTGCAGCCAGTCAGAAGTGAGGGACACTGAGTTGGGACTGGCCATTGAAGTTTGCCATTGAAGTTAACAAATGGGTCCTGGCACGTACAAGTTTGAGAACCAGCCATTTCTTGTTCTCTGGTGAGGTCATGGTGGTGGTGGTGATTTCCCTGATTAAATTTATAATCGTTTCTTACCTGATGCAAAATGAAGATCTTAACAAAAAACAAAGCAACCCCCTTAGCATCCCCCTTACCAAACAACAAAAATGACCAAAAAATCTAGCTGTAAGAACAGAACAATCTTGAAGTAGAAAAACCTTTGAACTACATTTTAAAAGATTTACTAATCAGGAACCCTGTCCTCGCCCCATCCTATTTCCCTGAATAGTTTATTTTAATGTTAGACACTAAATATTGCATCTGATCTTTAGTGTAAATAGTTATTTAATGAATACAACACCTGTAGGCATTTATTCAAAGTTGGTACAGTAAAGTGCAGGTGAATAATGGCCAAATAATAGTCTCTGTTTTTGTCCAATTTAAAAATTATACTTAAGAATAACAAATCTAGTGTTATATTTGGTGTACAGTAAAATAAAAAGCCAGACGAGCACGCTTTCCGTGCTATTTTGATTTATATGTGATTAAGCAGAGTCAGCAACAAAGTGTCAGAAATCTTAAAAATATCTCTTGATTTTATGAAAAACAGATTGATAAGACTTCGAAGATGATGAGAATCTACACACAAAAATAGAGTAAGGAAAAATCATTTCTTTACCCTTTTTTTCTAAAGTAGAGCACAAACTTGTAGAAATAATCCTCCAGTAAAGATTATATATAAAAGCATTATAAAAAAACATAGTAATGTTGAATCAATCCAGCGTTGCCAGATCCTACTGCAAACATCAGTAAAAGGGGAAATAAGACTGATTCTAGTGAGACCTTTGCGAACTCCTATGCTGAATAGGTAAACAAATGAGTAGTTGAGTTTCTTTAATAATTGTGGAGATCTGGGGTTTTTAGAATTATTTGTACATCAGTGTGAGGAAAATTTTATATTTGATTATATTCTCCTACGAGTTTAATATTATTGATCATTTTAAAATGTTTGTAATACTTGCTAGATATCAAAGCTGGAGAAAATAATTAAGCACTGATAGGATTTCAGCAGGGTAGTGAAAAACCATCCTGTTTTTCTGGTTTTATATGGTGTTAAACACTGCCCATTGGGAAATACTTTATCTGTTAAGGTCTTATTGCAAAATGTAGGTGCCATGTGGCAACTGCATGAGATCTTTAGCATTGCTTACTGGTTTTGCTTTGTATGGTGTGACATTTAGTAATAACCCGGCAAGGAAAACCTGTTAAACTGCAGATGTAATTGTGTGTTAAATTAGAAGCATTCTTAGTTGGTATGCTGTTATAAGAGTGTGATAACAAAGATAGCCTGGGAATACAGAATTTTTAAAGGGGAGCTAAAAGACTACTGTTAAAGTTGCAGTATCTGCTTAATTTTAGCTCTGGGTTTGATTCTGTCTTTCTTTGAATTTTAAGAGGCATTTATTGCAGAGAGAGTGACAAATCGGGGCCAGTAGAGAATATGTACAGATTGGCCCGAAGATCTGGGCCTCATGGACAAGGCCTGGGCTCATGGTCTGCAAGGCCTGCCTGTACACTCTAGACTAAAATGCACGCACGTGCGCGCACCCCCCCCACCCCCCCAAACAAAAGGACTATTTACATATCTAGAGTTCTGCCTGTGGGGACACCCATGGGGGCCTCAGGGGTCGACCCACATGAAACAAAGTCCAAGGCCTCGGCCCGCTGGACGCGTCTCTGCAGCTTGAGCAGCCGGTGGTGTCACAGTGCAAGGAGCAGGCGTCCCTTTCTGTCTTTCTTCACTAAAAGTAATTTTAGCTTGTATGCAATGAAGTGTAGTTTCGCTTCAAATATCAAGCCACTTGTCTGGTACAGATCATTTGTGCAGATAGCTGGCTAACTTAGGCCTTAGTTCTGTTACTCTCTGGTTTTCCAAAAGGTTTCAAATTTTTAAACCAGATAACCACGGTGGCTTTTGCAGATCTTTTATAGCATCCATATTGTTCCTTGAGAAACCTATTCAGGTATATTTTGCAAGGCATGAAGTTGTGATGAACAGAAAGATAAAATTTTCACTCTTTGGTTAATAAATTCCTGTTTGGATGAGAAACTTAACCTCCTTCATCAGTCCATTTCAAAATAGAAGCTGGGCTACCACTTCACTAATAAAAATGAGTTTCATAGTGTTAGTTTGCATTGACGCTAGGGAAGAATCACGCTTAGCAGGACCTAAACTAGGCCATGTAGCCTAGCTTAGACAAATTTTGGGGGTCTTTAAATGAAAAGAGTTTTAAATTTTACCCCTAAATTAAATGCCAATTTTTACAGAACATATGTAACTTTAGGAGAACAATATTGATTAATAGGAGGGCAGTTGCAGTGTATACAAGTTATATATTTACTAAGTATTCCAAGATATAGCTTCATAATTATAGCAGGATATGTTAGATTGGCATGGTCGCTTACACCCATGGTGTTTATGTCCACATCATGCATCTTGTAATGTACTTCTAATCCCAAATGTTTTTTTTCTGCCTGAAATGCGAGATTTATCCTTCTGCAAAAACGTGACATCATCTTTTAGTGTGAAACGTCAGCAGCGTTAATTCTGTTTGTTGGATGAAATCAATAATATATTGTCCCTGTAGCTTCAGATGAAGAAACTAAGTAAATGGAGCATGATCACATACGAAGGCTTAAGAATACTTGCCTAAAAATGCTGCTGAAATTTCTTGTGATCTCAACCTGAAGAAAACACCTCTGGTACCAAACTGTTCCCTACCACTACACTAGAAAAATGTTTTAAATAATTATGAAAGAGTGCTGTTCAATAAGTGAGGAAGGACACAAGAGCATTCCTAGCATCCTGTGAGTTGAGATTAAATAACTTTCTTTCTAACAGTAGGATTTGGACATCATCAATAATAATTTAATATTAGATGCCTCATGACTTGAATGGACCCTCCTTACTTCCAATAGCTTAGGCAGATCCAGAGAATAGAATTCCCTGTTAAATCATCCCTACTTCTTGCAGTGCCTGTACGTTGGTTGGAAGTACTTTGCCCAAGTAAGCCACTATGGCTCTGCTTATCTTCAGAAATCACAGTTTGAGGAAATGTGGTTACAGTATGTTTGATTATTGCACCCAAACAAACACCTGTTTTCATGTTAAAGTAAACAAAATAAACTTTTGGGTGTGCTTTTCTAGATAAGAAGTAGATGCTTAATATAAGCCCTTACCAAGTTAATGTTCTGCTATGTGTTGTAGGATTACTTGAGAGGAT